GGAAACCATCATTCTCAGCAAACTATCACAAGAACAGAAAACCAAACACCGCATGTTCTCACTCATAGGTGGGAACTGAACAATGAGAACACTTGGACACAGGAAGGGGAACATCACACACTGTGGCCTGTCATGGGGTGGGGGGAGTGGGGAGTGATAGCATTAAGAGATATACTTAATGTAAATGATGAGTTAATGGGTGCAGCACACCAACACGGCACATGTATACATATGTAATAAACCTGCACATTGTGCACATGTACCCTAGAAATTGAAGTATAATAAAAAAAGAATATGCAGATGAGAACAAAGAAAACAAAAATAAAAACAAAACAACAAATAAAAGAAATGTGGAGAAATCACATTACCTGACTTTAAATTATACTACTGAGCTATAGTAATCAAAACATCATGATACTATCATAAAAGCAGACACATGGTATTGTCATAAAAGCAGACGAATGCAACAGAATAGAGAAACCAGAAACAAAGCCACATACCTACAGTGAACATACATTTGCAAAAGGCACCAGAAACATACACTGGGGGAAAAGACAGTTTCTTCAATATATGGTGCTGGGAAAACTGGGTATCTATATGCAGAAGAATGAAACTAGACCACTATGCTTTTTTTGTTTGTTTGTTTGTTTTGTTTTGTTTTGTTTGTTTTTGAGATGGAGTCTGGATCTGTTACCCTGGCTGCAGTGCAGTGGCACAATCTTGGCTCACTGCAACCTCTGCCTCCTGGGTTCAAGTGATTCTCTTGCCTCAGCCTCCCAAGTAGCTGGGATTACAGGCACCCACCACTATGCCTGACTAATTTTTCTATTTTTAGTAGAGAAGGGGTTTCACCATGTTGCCTAGGCTGGTCTCATAAACTCCTGACCTCAGGTAATCCGCCTGCTTCAGCCTCCCAAAATGCTGTGATTACAGGCGTGAGCCACCACACCTTGCCTAGACCCCTATCTCTCACCATATACAAAAGACAAATAAAAATGGATTAAAGACTTAAATCTAAGACCTCAAACTATGAAACTGGTACAAGAAAACATTGGGGGAAATCTCTAGGACAATAGTCTAAGTAAAAACTTCTTGAGTAATACTGTACAAGCACAGGCAACAAAAGCAAAAATTGACAAATGTGACCGCATCAAGTTAAACAACTTCTGCACAGCAAAGGATACAGTCAACAAAATGAAAAGACAATCCACAGAATGGGAGAAAATGTTTGCAAGCTACCCATCTGACAAGGGATTAATAAGCAGAATATGTAAGAAGCTCAAACAACTCTATAGAAAAAAAAATCCAATAATCCAATCAAAAAATGGGGAAAAGATTTGAACAGACATTTCTCAAAAGAAGACATACAAATGGAAAACAGGCATATTAAAAGGTACTCAACTTCGCTGATCATCAGAGAAATGCAGATCAAAACTACAATGAGATATTATCTCGCCTCAGCTTAAATGGCTTATATCCTAAAGATAGGCAACGACAATTGCTGGTGAGGACGTGAAGAGAAGGGAACCCTTGTACACTATAGATGGGAATGTAAATGAGTACAACCACTATGGAGAAGAGTTCAGATATGTCTCAAAAAACTAAAAATTGAGCTACAATATGATCCAGCAATCCCACTGCTGTGTATATATCCAAAAGAAAGGGAATCAGTATATCAAAGAAATAACTGCACTCCTATGTTTGTTGCAGCACTATTTACAACAGCTAAGATTTGGAAGCAACCTAAGATTCCATCAACAGATGAATGGATAAAGAAAATATGGTACAGATATACAATGGAGTACTATTTAGCCATAAAAAGAATGAGATCCAATCATTTGCAACATCGTGGATGGAAGTGGAAATTGTTAAGTGAAATAAGCCTGACACAGAAAGACAAACATTGCATGGTTTTGCTTGTTTCTGGGTTCTAAAAAAGCAATTCAACTTGTGGGCGTAGAGTAGAAGGATGGTTACCAGAGGCTGGGAAGGGTAATAAGAGTTTGGCAGGAGTTGGGGATGGTTAATGGGTACAAAAAATAGAAAGGATGAATATGAGTTAGTATTGTTAGCACAATAAGGTGAGCATAGTCAATAATAATTGCATATTTTTAAATAAAGAATGTAATTGGATTGCCTATAACTCACAAGATAAATGCTTGAGAGGATGGTTACTCCATTTTCCATGCTGTGTTTATTTCACATTGCCTGCCTGTGTCAAAATGCCTCATGTACCTTATAAATGTGTATTAATACGTGCATAATGTACCCACAAAAATAAATAAAATATTAAAGTAAATAAATTCAGAAATTATTTCTAGAGATATTCTGATTTCTGATAATATTGGTATAAAATAGACATGCACACATCAAAATGTAATGAACATTTATGATTTTTAAAAATAAACTACCTGTTATCATAAGATTATAAGAAAGTTAAGATTTCTAAGAAAGTATGAACAATTATCTCCAGAAGATAATTTTCTAATTTTAAAAATATCTCAGGCAATAAAGACATTTTATGTTATTGTCAGGAAGCTTTATTAACTTCAGTATTCATAGTTGTTAAACCTTATACATAAAGTTTTGCATCTCTAAAACTCAGGAATTCTGCTGACTTGATTTTTGTGTGTGGAGAATGGGGTCTTTCTATATTGCCCAGGGAGGTCTCAAACACCTGGACTCAAGCTATCCTTTCGCCTCTGCCTCCATAAGTGTTAGGATTACAGGTGTGAGCCACTATGCCTGGCCTGATGTGATTTTTCAGTCCCCGTTTTCTCTCCTCATGTGAATACGGGGTCCTGCTTGAGCAGCATCTTGAGTTGATGTTTTAGAATTACATTTTTCATTCAATTAAAAATGCATATTACCATAATATTTCAGAAATAAATGTTTGTTTACATTAGTAAAAGTATATTTTATATCCTTGAAACAAATGTTGAAATAAATAATCGAAATTTTGAATCTCAAGATTTTTTTCTCCTCTTGTTTTCATTTTCAAAACTTCAGAGAAGGGTATAGTGTTGCATGATTTAATTCTGTGAGTTTAGTATAATTTAAAAATATTACTCCTCTTCACATTATATGCTTTTCCTGAGTAAGGTCATCCACTCTTGCTTTCTGGGTGCCTCAAATTTGTTATGTCACACACTGAAGACATTGTCCTTGACCCTTTCCTGATGTTTTGTAATCTACTCTGTCATCTGGTTTCATCATCCTAGGAAATAACACCTAGTTAGTAGCACTGAAACATTGAAGCAGGACAATTTCTACATTTCAGCACTTTCTCAAATCATCAGTTCAGTCACTTGCAAATTCTATATTTTCTACTGCTTAGCATTTTTTATATCTCATTATCATAATTCACTCTCTGACTCATAATTTTGAAATACTCTTGTTTAATTTCCCCCATGCCATGCTCATATCTATCTTTTTGTTGCTGCCAAGGTGACTTTTATAAAATATATTTATAATGATATATAACTCATCTGCTTTTGAATGGTTCCCCATTACATGATGGGGAGAGTTCACACTCTAGTATGGCCCATATCTTTTGTGGTTTGGCCTGATTCTCCCATTTTCTCTCTCCATTCCATTCCCTCTCACTATGTTCCACTCTTACAGCATTATTTTGGTACCCTTCATTTGCCCTATCATTTCATGCCTCATCCTTTTGAGCATGCTTCTCTGTCTAGAAACCCTTCCTGCCCTCACTGTTCTTTTCTTGGTCTATGTTTCAAAATATGGCTCTATTTTTGTAGCATTTCCTGAGCTCCCCAAGTAGAACTGATTGTTCTTTTCCTTGTGCCTGTACTTATTTTTTCACTTTAGTTGTAGAACTCATGGACTATACTTTTCTGTTTTTATTACCTTTTATATATCTCTAACTTTGCTGAAATATAAGGCAGGACCTGACTTTTACTTATATTTTTAGCTTCTCCCCAAATATTGCTTATGATTTGATAAACACAGTACATTTTTGTTGTCTTACTGACAGAATGGTGAGTAAATACAATGTTTTCTGAAGTTGCTGTTCTTTTCTTTTTAATAGGTGAAAGCAACAGAGCCAGCAAATGGAAAAAGACAAAATGGTATGGGTATTATTGAGAGTGCTCCACAAGAGCACACAAATAATGAAATTTTAATTTTGATTCAAAAATGTTCGAGGTGGTAAGTTAGTGAATATATCTGAAAAACAGCATATACTAAGTATTTTCAATAGAAAAACCACCAACCTATGTAGATCCAAACATAATATTCATTTCTTTCCCACAGTATTTTTCTGTCTGTCTTTATACTACCAACTTTTTCCTGAAACTACTTCAATTCCTCAATTCCCTGAAACTTTTTTCTTTTTCTTTTTGCTATTACTTTTGTTTCACTGAAATATTTATGGGTGAAGACAAACTTGTATAGGTATATAAAATTCATAGTGATAAATTTTCTCATGAGTGTATCTGTGTTTTATAGATGTGCCATTCGCAGTAAAATCAGGACAAAAGGAAGATATCCAATCACATTTGGACAGCAAGGTATTATCTATTGTTATTGCTGCAGTTATTATTTTAGAAAATAAGCATTCAGTGATGTTACAACATAAAAGAGAATGCTTTCACTTCACTTTTGTGCCTCTGCATATGCCCATAAATAATTATTTTCTGGCCAGGCACAGTGGTTCACGCCTGTAATCCCAGCACTTTGGGAGGCAGAGGCAGGTGGATCACCAGAGGTCAGTAGTTTGAGACCAGCCTGGTCAACATGGCAAAATCCAGTCTCTACTAAAAAAACCCAAAAATTAGCCAGATGTGGTGGTGCACACCTGTAATCCCAGCTACTCGGGAGGCTGAGGCAGAAGGATCACTTGAACCCAGGAGATGGAGGTTGCAGTGAGTCGCGATTGCACCATTGCACTCCAGCCTGGTCAACAAAGCAAGACTCCATCTCAAAAAATTTATTTTCTTACATTATCAGCCCATAATTAGTACAGTAATTATGTACAAAGTATATCACTGCTGCATAGTACAATTCTGTTAATTTGGAGGATTCGTGTAAAAAGCCAGTGTCACATAGTACAAAATTTATAAGGGTTAGAAGTCACAAGGAATCAAACTTAATCTAAAGTTAAGTTTATCTAGAAACTAAAAAATTGTTCCATGTCAATATATAGCCAAATGTATGATTCTGTGTTCTACCTGGATGTGTAAAAGTGCTAATGAGATTCAGAGAGAAAGAGTTTGGACTGGAGTTTTGTACAACTTGAAACCCGAAAAGACAATGCCTGGGATTTAAAATACTACTGTATTTGGATTGACTAGTATAGATGTGCAAAAAAATTTCAGAAGAAGCAAAAGCATGGGGAGTTGTAAATAAGTGAAGCTATAAACACAGTAGTTTGGTTTAGTGGTGTTTTATTAAGTAGAAATCATATTCAAAAAAAGAAAACATTAGTACCTTTATGGTAAATGATGACTATTCTAAGGTGACAACAGTAGAAAGAGATGAAGGGGCCTGGCTTCTCAGAAGCAGTTGCTGTATTGTGATACCAGCACCAAGTTGGTCAAAAGACATGTTGTTATCCTGGTGCTTTAACTTACTAGCTATGAATTTCTGGTAAAAGTTATTTAACCTATTTGAATGTCGAGTGATGCCCCTCATAAAAAGGGTACTAGTATGTACTCCTAGGCATGTGTAATGAACAAATGCGCTGAAAAATTGGAAAGCATTTTGTAAACCTGAGAGTGTGACCACTAATGTATAATAAAGTGATCCACAGGGGTATTCGGTGTCTCAATAAGTATTGAGGATGCTTCACGTAAACCCTGAGGACAATACAATGACAATAGCATCAAGAAAAGTTTGGGAAAGTCAGAGTGGGCATGTGGATTTCTAGTTTGGGGAACATGAGTTTCAGCAGACTATTACTAGAGAACTCTTCTAGGAATCTAGTGGTTTGGTGCTTAAGACATTCCCATGGAAATTTAAGTGTTTTGACCTTGAGTGAATTTCTACTGTTGAGCACCAACTCTGCTAGGCAACTAGAGACTGAATATAGATGATGGGGGCTTAGGTTACAGCAGCAAGAAGAGAAAAACAAGTAAATAACCCAGCATTGTAAGTTGAATGTGCTTCCTATAAAGAAAACAGAGAAGACAGAGATTATTGGAGAAGTTTGTAGTTAGCATGGGGATGGGAGTGGCAGTAAAGTTCTGTAGTCAGAGGAGATGTTTCTGCATGTGACATTGAAACTGTCAACTAAAGGATGAAAGGAGCCAGCCATGGGAAAGTCTAGGAGGAGGACATTCTGGACAGAGAGGAAACAATGGATCTCATCTGTTCATCATTTTCTTGTTAACATCCTGGAATCACCAGAAAGTGGGGTTACCATCATCAACTTCATCATCATCATTATTTTTATTACTATAATGTGTAGAAAAGAAAATGTGAAATTACCTTGCCTGGCACATTTTAAATGCTTCACAAATGAATGTTCTGAATGTTCTTGTTCTGCTTTTTTTTTTTTTTTTGAGATGGAGTTTCACTCTTATCGCCCAGGCTGGTGTACAATGGTGCGATCTTGGCTTACTACAACCTCCACCTCCCAGGTTCAGGGGATTCTCCTACCTCAGCCTCCACAGTAGCTGGGATTACAGGAGCATGCCACCACATCCAGCTAATTTTTATATTTTTAGTAGAGGTGGGGTTTTGCCATGTTGGCCTGGCAGGTCTCAAACTCCTGACCGCAGGTGATCCATCTGCCTCAGCCTCCCAAAGTGCTGAGATTACAGGCGTGAACCACTGCCTGAACCCAGCCTTGTTCTGCTTTTTATACTAAGACTCAATATACTTTGTTGAAGTTACTTTTTTATTGGGAGAGCATTGCTTACTATATCTAATATTTGCTTACTTATATATATAAGTATATATAGACATAATATATATATATGTTTATATATAGACATAAACTAAAGGTTTTCTCATTGGTTTGTAGTTGTATTCAACCATTTTTTCTATCAGTAAAAATGGTATGAAAGACTGTGTAGATTTCTCCAAGCCCTTGTTTACCTAAATGAAGGAGCTTCTACCATGTTCTGTTTAAACGCAACATGACACACACCACAGTTTCTTATTGTGCTGTCTTAACATTTACATTTTCTGTAACTAGAAATCTTTTAAATATTTAATGCTTTCAGTGTATTACCAAGTGTATTGTGTAGTATTTTAAATGGTCTCTTACATTTGGTTGGGAATGTAGGGTAGAGTTAGGTATTTTGAAGTTAGTCTCTTGCTGCAATATGCACATAAGTCATTATTTGGCCTGTGAATATATTTCTTGTAGCCTTTTAGTCTGGGTGTGCAAAGTCAGTAGCCCTGTGAAGATAAAAGATAAGTTTGATTTAGAGAGCCTATCTATGTAAGCTTCTCTATTGAATAATTTAGGTTCCCAACACATGTTCTTATTTTGAAGTTATCTGAATGAAAAACACCTTCTTTAAAAGAAAGTGTTTGGGAAATCTTTATGTAACTACTACTTCTTTTTCATCTTCTTGAAACTCATTGTTGTTATTAATTTTTACAGAAGATCTCCAAGAATCACACAGAGAATGGTGGCACTCATGTATCTGGGGCTACAGACTGTAAGACAAAATATGTAATAAATGGGCAAGAAGAAGGTAAAAACTGTATATCATATCATACTAAGGCTCAATATACTTTGTTGAAGTTACTTTTTTATTGGGAGAGTGCTGCTTACTATATTTAATATTTGCTTACTTATATGTAGACATAAACTAAAGTTGAATGACAGTATGTCTCTTTTGCTTACTTATATTTAGACATAAACTAAGTTGAATGACAGTATGTCTCTTTGAAAACACGAGCACTAGTATATTCTAATAGCCAGATAAAACTTCTTAAAATGACTTCTTTTTTTAAAAAATTTTTTTGAGATGGAATTTCACTCTTGTTGCCCAGGCTGGAGTGCAATGTTGCGATCTCGGCTCACCACCACCTCCACCTCCCAGGTTCAAGCGATTATCCTGCCTCAGCCTCCTGAGTAGTCGGAATTACAGGCATACACCACCATGCCTGGCTAAGTTTTTGTATTTTTTCTATATGCTTCATTTTCATTCTTTAAGCTCTGGTGCCTGACACATAGCAGGACTCCATAAATAATTGCTGAGTAAAATATATAAAGGCTGTTTATAGAAAGATGATTTGCAAGTTGTCCCCTATTGTGTAGAAGCAAAGGAGACAGTCATGTGAAGCAATAACATACAGTTAAGGTGGTAAAGATGCAGTAGAAAAATCAATAAAATACTAAGGCAGCCCCAAGAAAGGAGACACCTGTTTATCTGGGGAATAAAGATACTAGTTAAAAAAATCACCAGAATCAACGAAGACTTCACATAGCCACCTATTTTAAAAGAAGAAAATAAATTTGTCAGAATAGTAGAGGAAAGCATTTCAGGTATTAGGAACAGGGTGCACATCGATAAAAGTGTAAACAGTTGTTTTGGAAATCATCAATCAGGTACTACCATGAAATAGAGAGTAGTATACCTCATTACTATGTAGGGATGTTTCTACTAAATTTTAAAGTATATTTCTAATTTTTAATTTTTTGGGTACAAGGTAGGTGGATATATGGACTACGTGAGATATTTGGATACAGGCATACAATATATCATAATCACATCATGGTAAATAAGATATCTATCACTTCATGGATTTATCCTTTGTGTTAAAAACAATCCAATTATACTGTTTTAGTTATTTTTAAATGTACAATTAAGTTATTATTGACTTTAGCCACACTGTTGAGCTGTCAAATACTAGATCTTATTCATTCTATTTTTTGGCACCCATTAACCATCCTCTCGTCCTCCCTCAATACTGCCCCGCCACTCTTCCCAGCCTGTGGTAATCATTATTATACTTTATCTCCATTAGTTCAATTGTTCTAAGTTTTAGTTTTGAAAAATAAATGAGAATATGCAAAGTTGGTTCTTCTGTGCCTTGCTTATTTCAGTCAGCATAATGACCACCAGTTCCATCCATGCTGTTGCAAATGACAGGATGTACTTGTTTTTCATGGCTGATTAGTACTCTATTGTGTATATGTACCACAATTTCTTTATCCATTTGTCTGTTGTGAAAGGTGTAGGTTGCTTCCAAATCTTGGCTATTGTGAATGATGCTGCAATAAACATGGGAGTGCAGACATCTCCTTGATGTACTAATTTCCTTTCTTTTGGGTATATATCCAGCAGTGAGATGGCTGGATCATATGGTAGCTCTATTTTTAGTATTCCGAGGAACCTCCAAACTATTGCTCATAGTCATTGTACTAATTTACATTCCCACCAACAGCATACAAGGTTTCCCTTTTCTTCACATCCTCATCAGCATTTGTTATTGCCTTTTGTCTATAAGCCATATTAACTGGGGCAAGGTGACATCTCATTATAGTTTTGATTTGCATCTCTCTGATGATCATTGATGTTGAGAACCTTTTCATATGCATGTTTGTCAT